TATGTTGCTGTTTATCAATGACAAATGTGCTTTCACTTATACAAGAACTTTCCTCCTTATCACCTCAGAAAAATCAATACCATGACTAGATGCGTGTAAAATGTGCACTGCACGTATGTATATCGAGACTCATAACTTGCGTACTCGAGAGCAGTAGGCCTAAAAAGGTCAAACAAGCAATTTGTGAGTGGTACTAAAAGATGAATATGATGTCATGAAACATTGGATTCCAAAATGGAATGCTAACTCTTAAACAACCTAACTTTAAAACTGTGTAACCACAAAATTATAACAAAATTTTTAAAAATAAAAATAAATTCTGAACAGCAAATAAACACTACTCCCACAGTGAAGGGGTTAATAGAGAAATTATCTCTATTCTTAACTATTATAAAAGTATTAAAAAATTATGAATTTTAAAATGAAGTAGGGATCCTGCTACAAAAAGCAATGACACAAGAATTAAAACCACAATCACAAATTTATAAAATCTAATCCTTACCTTGGCCTACAGATAAGTGTATAAAGTGTATATATTTGTGAAATGTAGTTAACTTTTACACTTATTTTGTTTCCTTTTTTCAAATATCAATTTTATAACTACATATCAGAAGCTTACCTCCTCATCCATTCCATTCTCAAGCAAAGAACACACACACATTTCTATCACTAATGCTATTTCTCGATCTGTTACCCTTAGATGTTCATCTAGTGAGACCCCATAGACTGGTTTCTGGTTGAAATTCCCTGTAAAGAAAAAGGTTTGTTTGTTTGTTTTTGAATTTCACGCAAAGCTACACGAGGGCTATCTGCGCTAGCCATCCCTAATTTAGCAGTGTAAGACTAGAGGGAAGGCAGCTAGTCATCACCACCCACCGCAAATCTTGGGCTACTCTTTTACCAACGAATAGTTGGATTGACCGTCACATTATAACATTCCCACAGCTGAAAGTGCGAGCATGTTTGGTGTGATGGGGATTTGAACCTGCAACCCTCAGATTGTGAGTCAAGCGCCATAACCACCTGGGCATACTGAGGCAAAGAAAAAGGAATGAAGAAAAAAACAAGAAAATATTATCATATCATTCATCAAAAAAACTTCAAAATGTACACAAACATTAGCCCCTAGATAGTTCAAACTATCGCACAAAATTTCTCCAGCTTACTTGACTGGTCTGTGGGTATCCACTTGTGATATTCCGATAAATAAATACAGATTTTTTATAAATGGTAAACATATCATGTACATACTTAAATATATTTTCAACCCAAAAGATGCCGCACTGATATAGACCAATAGACATGTGACAGGTAAAAAATAAAAAATAAACAAGAGTATTAGAAAATTATGAATTTCAAATTGAAGTAGGGATCCTGCTACAAAAAGTAATGAAAAAAGAATTAAAACCACAATCTAATAAAGTATCTATTTTGAGTATCCTGTAATCTATGGCTTGAGGACTTACTTGATAAATAAAAGTTGTATTTAGTTCATTAATGTTTTAATTTATTGCTGTGTGCTGTAATTGAAGACCTCTTATCAACTATAAATCATCATAGTATAAAGCAATAAGTAAGTACCAAGACATTGATGAGTAAACTGGAAGACCTGAAGATGAAAGATGGAAGACTTTTGAAATGTCGTCCTCTACGTTTGTGTTTTTTTACAACAAGGAGTTGCTATCCATTCCAGTTTACTCATCATGAATACTCTGCTTAAACAATCTATCAAAGAATACCAAGGCATTGTAATTCAATTAAGATACATAAAATGGACCATAGCTCGGGGCTTTTTATGTTTGGGCTTTTGTTAATGACAAACTAAAATTAAATAGGTTTGATCTTCATTTTTAAACTTTAAATGTTAAGCTTAAGGTTAAATTCTGTCCAAAAACATGCATTTTAGAAAATTGAAGGCTAATATGAATGTAGTTATGTTTCTATACAAGTTTTCCAAATTGTTTTTGTTTTCTTCTTCTTGTGATTAATGGTGTATGAATGGTGACAGTATTGGAAAACTGTCTTATGTTTTTAAATTAGTTCTATGCTGTATTCTTTAAATGTAAGTTAATAACTTACCTCAATATTTAGTCCCTAATCCTAGTCTTTACTATAAAATGGTTAATCATTGCTACCAACTGCATGGAAAAGTAATGTAAGAAGTAGTCAGGCATCTGCTGTCACCGTCATTACTAAAGTGGTTAATGGGAGAGGAGATTTATAGATGTCTCTGATGTGTTCCTAGTATTACCACATCTGTCACCGTCATTACTAAAGTGGTTAATGTAAGAGAAGATTTATTAAGATGCTGTCTGCCAGAGATTGTAAAAATAAGTTATTTGACACTTTTGAACACAATATAAACTTTTAAAGGTTAGGGTCCAGGGGAAATAATAGCTATCTTGATACCAGTAAAAACAACTGTAAGATGTTTCATTACTCAAAATTCTAATTTGTATTTATTTGTAAAAAAAATAAACATTAATTTCTAAATTTTTCTAATCTGTTTTAATGATTTATTCCATTACATTGTTTCGAACAAAGAGTTGAAATACTATATAAATAGTTTAAGAAAAAATAAAAACAAGGAACATAGCATACCTCCAGGGAAGAACCAATCAGCATGGCTTACCAAGGAGTCAACAATGATGCTGTGCACATTGGCAACTGACATGTTCATACTACAGTAGAAAAACAAATTTGAAAGATGGTTACCTCAATCCATGAAAATAGAGGCGATAATTCTTTTATAAATAAAATTAAAACTGGATAACATTTTCATACAAAGTAAAACAGAAGAATAAGATTCAGAATAGATAAATCTTTCATACAAAGTAAAACAGAAGAATAAGATTCAGGCTAGATAATACTTTCATACAAGATAAAACAGAAGAATAAGATTCAGACTAGATACTTCTTTCATACAAGGTAAAACAGAAGAATAAGATTCAGACTAAATAATTCTTTCATAAAAGGTAAAACAGAAGAATAAGATTCAGACTAGATACTTCTTTCATACAAGGTAAAACAGAAGAATAAGATTCAGACTAGATACTTCTTTCATACAAGATAAAACAGAAGAATAAGATTCAGACTAGATAATTCTTTCATACAAGGTAAAACAGAAGAATAAGATTCAGACTATATAATTCTTTCATACAAGATAAAACAGAAGAATAAGATTCAGACTAGATAATTCTTTCATACAAGGTAAAACAGAAGAATAAGATTCAGACTATATAATTCACAGAGGATAAAAATGCAATTAGAATAAAACTGATATAAAAAAAATAGAAGTAGAAAACAAAAACACTGCAACAATTATTATTACTTTTTTGAAACTTCCTGACAGCAAGAAATCTACGTCAAGGTAGAAAAAGCATGGAAAGTTTGGAAACAAGAATAAAGATTCTGAACGATGAATAAAAATTAGAGAAACTACAGCTTATCTTTATAACAGTTAGTTGTGATTTATGAGAAACAATTATGAAGGTATGATTTAGTGCATTAATGAAGAGTTCAGATATAAAGAGATCAAGACAGTGAGAAGCTCTTAAAACTTGTACAAGTTGCAAAAATTTTCCATCATGAAACAAAACTACAGGGGAAATTGAGAACGATACAAATGAATAGTTTTTAAAAACATATGATAAAGTTACGTCAAATGTTTAAAAAGTTCTATCAAAATTATTTACATTTAGCATCACTGAGTAAAACAGAACTTAAGTTAGAACATAGCCTCATTACTACAATAATAATAATTACTCTATCAAAGAACACAAGTTATGTGAAGTATCATTTCTGTTAAATGGAATAAGACATTAACAAATAGATAAAATGTACCCACCTAAACTGCATGGAGACCTGATCAGGTCCCCAGATAAGGTTAGGAGCAAAGACTATGGCTATATTTTGAGGTGACATCTTGTTTACATCAGAATTGGTAGCTAACTTTGCTAGAAATTTAATGATGTACCTGCAAATTTTATTTTCAAATTACTGATAATGTATTGAAGAAGATACTTTTGTGTGCGTACTATAACCTTTGTATGTTACAAAGTAATAAAACCAACATGTGATCATTAAAGCATATAGAAAAATGTATTTAGTACTTCAAGCACTTCATAACACCACAATTAAAGGATTCTTTATACTTTAAGAAATGTACGCTTTGTCACAAAAATCATGAAAATAAATACTGTGAAACCAATATGCATCGGATTATAATACTTTAATATAAGCTAACATATTAATTACTGATCAGAGCAAGTTATCAACTTGGAGCAAAACTAAAAACTGACCCGGTAACGAGTAAAGCTAATTAAACATAATATTTTAATGTAAGCTAACATATTAATTACTGATCAGAGCAAGTTATCAACTTGGAGCAAAACTAAAAACTGACCCATTAACGAGTAAAGCTAATTAAACATAATATTTTAATGTAAGCTAACATATTAATTACTGATCAGAGCAAGCTATCAACTTGGAGGAAAACTAAAAACTGACCCGTTAATGAGTAAAGCTAATTAAACAATATTTTAATGTAAGCTAACATATTAATTACTGATCAGCGCAAGCTATCAACTTAGAGGAAAACTAAAAACTGACCCATTAACGAGTAAAGCTAATTAAACATACTTTTCTTATTTTCTTACTTATACAGATTAGAATGTTTCAGTCATCAGTTGGGTAACTTCACTGTAAAAGATAGAAAACTTTTCTCTGATCAAAGAAATGTTAAAACAATAAATTTTCTCTTCATTCTTGATTCCCTTACGTTTTTTGTTACTTTAAAAAAATGTTTACACCATTAATACTATCACTGATTATTTTGTACAATTATGATCAATTTTCAACAGATAATCTCTGAAAATTACACAAAAACACAGACACAAATTCAAGGAACAAAAATACTTTTTCTGTGCGTAAGGAATTTGTACACTAATGGTGTTCATACATATAGTTCCTTATTTTTGATTAATTCTACTGGAATAAAAAAGACGATTTCAAACAGTAAGACTATCTTAACAAGCCATGATTTACTATGTAAATGAAACCTACTTTAAAGTTCCTAACAATTTTTTAAGTAAACTTTTCGAGCATACAGTATTAATACAAACATTCTCTGAGCAAACATGAGTGAATATTAATGTTTTCGTAACACGTTCAGCAAATATTAATTATACAAAATCCCTTTAACTGTATTTAAAGAGAGAGAGTGTGACTAACTGAACAGTTATGTCCATTCAGGTATATATATATAGTTGCTGTAACACTTGTGCGTGATAGAGGTTATGAACCCACCTTAGATTGTTATGGTTGGCTTCAGGTAAACGCAACAGTACCTGCCACAGTGCTTGAAGCCTCGCCTCTGGATCAACTGTTCTATTAAAGACAGAAAACTTCTTTAATCACAAAAATGTTCTTAAAAGAATAAGTTTTCATTTTGATTCTCCAATATTTAGGAGTTTATTTTAGTACTCAATTACAATATACAAGAAAATATTCTACATAAATAAAACATTTTATTCTCATGGCACCAGTATGTAGGTAATGAACTTAGATACACAAAAACAGCCATATATTGACAACTAATTTTAGTTAAATTTTCCGCATATTAATATAAAGTTCCTTAAATTTTGTATTTCGTGGTTCAAAGTCTGATTAATGCAGAACTGATTTCAAATGTAAAGGTTTAAAAAGCATTTAATTTTGTTAAAATCATAGTAAATTTTTGTTTTCCTTCCATGGAGTATTTGTCGTAAGTGTAAGAAGGCACTCGAAACTATGATTATCTGAAAGATAGGCTAGAAGTAGTGTATTTTTGACATTAGTCAATTTGTTCACATGTAGGATAAAGGAACTTGGAAAATTAGCCAATTGCAAGTAAACTTAAGATGAGATATACTTCACCAAATGTATACAGTAATAGATTAATTGTTCCTAATGAAAATATACAAATTACTTAACTAACTAAAAGTACAATTTAGAAAGTCAACAACTAAACGTCAAAGAAAATTGATAATAAGCTTAAAATATGGTATGTAAGGAATATTATGTGGACAGAGGTTTACAGTTTCGGCTTGGTTTATTTATCAGCTCTGGTAGAGAGAAAAAATTTACCAGCATGGAATATTACATAAACAGCAAACTTTCTCAAGTTTGATTACAGCAGGATGCCCGTGTAGATGAAGACTACACAAGCTTGAAGTTGTAAAGTTTGAAACTTGTAATGATTTGCTGATAGATGATGAGTTTTGGTATATGGCTATTTTCTAAAAGATTGAAGAACCTTTAATAAACAATGCATGATTTTGTTATTAAAAAGGCCTCAGTCTCAATTCCTTATCCCACATCATCTTTCCTGGAGTTGTTGATCTGTAGACAATTGCCATTGACTGCATATTCCTAGTGTTTAAATAAACGATGACAAAACCTTGTCGAAACGTTGTACATTTGCTGTTATGTTAAACTTGTATTAAAGTTTTTCTTCATTACAGCCTTCTCCAACCATTATTAGTCTCAAAGTGGGTTCCTCGTCATCGAATTTGAGGAGTTTCTGCTTTATTAGAAACTTTACTATAAGTTTAATTTGTATAGATATATGTCATTGAAGCTTACACAAGTGTTAAAAAAACTTTTAACAATAACTCAATTCCTAGTGGAAAATGATTATTTCACTTTGCATATAATACTAAAGCACTTACTTAGCTGCATTTGTCCATTCTTCGTAAAGATCAAAGGTCAAGAGAGGTTCAGGTAGTTCACGCAAATAAGACTTTAGAGCTCCTGACCAAAAAGAAACCACATTTTTTTTTTTTTTAAGTGATGATACAAAATTATAATTTATATAGAGGCAATTTTTCTAGCATTTATAAAATCTCACAAATTATGAAATGTAGGTTTGGTAACATGAGTATCATAATAAAATACTTGCATTTAACATTTAATAGAGCATCTTTTACGGTCAGTGCTTGGAACTGAATCTTTCTTTATCAAAACTTGTTTACTTAAACCTATGTTTCCCTTTCATATACATGGCTTTTGAGTTGCTTTCACAGTAATAATGATTTTTTTGTTAATAAAATCAAATTTCCCATTTAAAAAATAATACTGCAAGTTATTTATCATTCATCTTTTGTAATTTAAAAAATAAAAAACTTAAAATACCAAAATAAACTTTTTATAATAATAACTGTTCCAGTGGACTTTTATAATTTGCATTTATCAGAGTTATAGTAATATTACTGGTGAAAACGTTTACTGCAACAAATGTTTTTTCTATCCTCAAACTGGTAATCAAAGAGAAAAAATCTGTGAAAAGTAAGATAGTTTTGTGGTAGCAGTTAAAATGTATTTTCAAAATTTTAATATTTCAATTAGTTTTCTTATTTAAAAAAAGGGGGCTATTAAAGATTACTGCAACACAATCAACTTGTTGTCTAAATACTTGAATATTGGTATTACTCGTTATGAGAAACCACGTCATATTTTAATTATCAATCTAGTGTGTGCTATTTAAGCTGATAAACAAAATACTGAAGTAGTACCTGCAACACAGTGAGGATCTCGAGCATACTCTACCAAGTCAAATATAATACCAGCATCAAAGGAATTCTACAGAAAAACAAAAAAAAACTCTCAATGTTGTAGCTTTCATAAAAATTAACAATGCTCACTGTATATGCTCACATATACATTACTTAATTAATTTTTTTTTTTTTTGAATTTCGCGCAAAGCTACACGGGGGCTATCTGCACTAGCCGTCCCTAATTTAGCAGTGTAAGACTAGAGGCAAGGCAGCTAGTCATCACCCCCCACCACCAACTCTTGGGCTACTCTTTTACCAATGAATAGTGGGATTGACCGTCACATTATAATGCCCCCATGGCTGAAAGGGCGAGCATGTTTGGTGTGACGGGGATTTGAACCCGCGACCCTCAGATTGCGAGTCGAGTGCCTTAACCACCTGGCCATGCCGGGCCCCATTAATTAATGTCAGAATAATATATCTGGTATGTAAGACAAAATTAAATATTCAATATGATACATACTGAGTTTGTATTTTACATATATAGAATACTAGTTCATAGAATGCTAATTTTCAGTTGACTATTATGTTTAATACAGGAATAAGTACGAGTGTAATAGTGAAAAATAATTAATTTGTTCTAAAGATTTTTGTTCACAGCCAATGCTTTACTTTTTTCATGACTTACTCTGTTCTTAAAAAACAAATTCTTTAAGAATGTAAACACATGTAGAAAATAATACTGCAGTGATAACTTGAAACTATTTAAATACGAATGGTAGTGTTGTGGACTAAATTTCCTCTTTTCTTATTGTTTTGCTGAAATATTGTCCCAAGGAATACTCACTTTCAATTTTTTCGCTTTCAATGCACTTCCAGCTATTCTAAAGAGACCCTGATAAACAGAAAAAAAGATGGAAATTCAATAACAGATTTTCATATTTTAAATTAACTACATGCATGTCAGTACAAAACACATTTTCTTTTCAATGTGGTCTTAGTAGATAGTTTTTGTTTTACATCTGTCTCCAATGTCTGCCTTTCCTTAACAGGGTTTCGGTCTCCATACTGGGTCTTTTGTGGATTAACATTATACAAAACTTATAACATCATTAAAACATTTGAAGATTCCAATAAAAACCACTATGAATATGTGAAAAACACAAAGTACACATACACTCATGGAAGATGTCCTAAACAGTAAACAAAACATTCTGCTTATAATTATACAGATAAATTAATGAGCATCATGATGATTATCTTACATAAAATATGCAAATATTTCTATGTGTTGACCCCATAGGAACGGTCAGCAGAATTTATCTTTTAACAATGCTAAACAGTGTTGCTAAATTGTATAACAGTTTTCTTTAATAAACATTAAAACACCACCATGGAAGAAACAAATAATTTTCTTTTTAAAATTTTTATGGAAATAAAAATATAAATACATTGAACCACCTTAGGAACAGGGTTCACTTTATCAAAATGTCAAAAAATGTGGTAATACTAGGAACACATCAGAGACATCTATAAATCTCTCTTCCATTAACCACTTTAGTAATGACGGTGACAGATGTGGTAATACTAGGAACACATCAGAGACATCTATAAATCTCCTCTTCCATTAACCACTTTAGTAATGATGGTGACAGATGTGGTAATACTAGGAACACATCAGAGACATCTATAAATCTTTTCTTCTGCTAATCACTTATAACATTTAGGGGGTTAAAATTTACTTTCCCGAAGAAATCAAGTTTCATTAAGGGAATTGAGCAGAAAGGCTATATATTACGTACAGGAAATTGCAGAGTTATTGCACATTTCCCATAAATTTGCAGGAAATCGGACCAAAATGACAATATCCCTCACCTATATGGAGATTATCCAAACCATAACGACCCTTTTTTTTGATTCTCATACATGTTCAAAAATTCGTCCTTTTTTTCCTTCTAAAGAGAAATATTTGCAGTTTGGAAGAGAATGGAAATACACTATGTGGATGGCCATCTTTAGTAATCTAGGGGTCACTTTTTAAGTTTGTTTTCATTTCAAGGCAAATATAAATTAATACTTTTATCATTTTACCAGATTTATATGTTACTATTGGGTCAAAATAGAGGAAAATCTATTTAATATGAGGGAAAGTGAACAAAAAGTTACTTTCCCATGAGGAAAATTAATTTTT